CTAAACCCTAAACCCTAAACCCTAAACCCTAAACCCTAAACCCTAAACCCTAAACCCTAAACCCTAAACCCTACACCCTAAGCCCTAAGCCCTAAACCCTAGACCCTAAACCCTAAACCCTAAACCCTAAACCCTAAACCCTAAACCCTAAACCCTACCTAAGCCCAGAAAGGGCTTCTATAGGGGGATCGAAGGTACCTAATTTCCAAAGTAGGGTGAGCCCACCTTGAGTTGTATTTGCCTGAACTTAAGATACCAGGGTTTAGGGTTTAGTGCTTCGGGCTATAGGGCTTAGGGTTTAGAGTTTAGGGTTTGGGGTTTAGGGTTTAGGGTTCAGGGTTTGGGGTTTGGGGTTTGGGGTTTGGGGTTGGAGAACTGCCCATTTGGGGCTTTAGGATTCTGCATCCTCTCCCAGCCTAGCCCTGGTTTGACCCGCCGCGTCAGAGGCTTCGTGTACAGAACGCCAATCGGCGTTGCCAAGGACTAAGCTCCTAAATGGGTTTGCTCCAAAGGGTTTAGGGTTTAGGGTTCAGGGTTTGGAGGTAAAGGGGTTAGGGTTTAGGGCCTCGGGGCCGACCGCGCCGTCCTAAGACCTGCAAGAACTGCAACCATCAAACCTAAAACACCAACTCCAGTACCCCTGAGCCTAAACCCTCAAGCCCTAGCCCACAAAATACCCCTAATGCCATTACACCTAAAGCCTACACCCTCAAACCCTAGCCCCAAAATACGCCTAAAGCCCAAACCAAGAAGTGGAACTCGTAGACCCGAAGCTGCGAACCGTTTCCGCAAATCAACCCTGAACCCCAGAAGCATCATTGCTGGAGCTGTTCTTATGTTACTTATTCCTATTCGTGGCTCTTCTGTTCTTATTCGTGATGCTTTTCCTTATGTTAGTAATTCTTGCCTTGTGCGTCTCAAGCCGGGGGGCCAGTAAGCGCTAACAAGAAGCCCAGTTGAGGGCTGAAGCCCCCCGACTCTCCTGGCAGGATGAGGGATTTTGGGTAGGACCCCAAAAACTACCATCCTATACTGGCAATCAGTAGAAAGCCATGCGTTCTCTTCGGGCAGGTTGTGCTGAGAGCGCGTTGGTGGTTATATAGGTTCCAGGGTTCAGGGGCCATGCCCAGTAAAATCGTCTGGGTAAGGAGCAACCCCTCCCGCAAAGCACTACGCAAGAACATGTGAAGAACACTTGCTGAGCATCTTGCGCTGGACAAAGATCCAAGCTCAGATCCCGTATCAGAAATGGCCCGCAGCAGTTCCCTGCTTCTGCCTTCATCGCTCCTGTACTACTATCATCGCTGTTCCCTGCGAAGGGTTTAGGATTTAGGCCCTTATTCCCCTTTTTCTTAAGGTTTAGGTTTTAAGGTTTAGGTTCTCTTACACGCCCCTGTCAACCAGAAAGGGTACCCTTTTTTTAAGTTCCCAGGTTGCTCTTGGGTGTAGGCTTTACAGGTGTATCGAACAAAGGGGGTCGGCATATTTTCGACTAGCATTTCCTTACGGCCCCTTTATAAACATACTCGAATAGCCCCCCAAAACCCTATTCCAATTACTAAGGCCCCTATACTCTCAGAGTCGGGGGAGGATCCCAAAAAAATAGATCCCCACTAAGGGTTCCCCAAAAAATAGATCCCCACTAAGGGTTCCTGAGAATGACCCAAGAGTAGTAGAGGGTACTATTTGGGGGTTCTATTTTTTGGATCCTTGTTGGGGCGGTGCAGAGTCGTGGGAGGGTCTCTTGCAGGGGCCCTCCTGACCTCCCCTCAGTCCTTGGAAATCCAAAATCCAAGGCTGGGGCCTCCCCGGTTTAGGGTTTAGGGTTTAGGGTTTAGGGTTTAGGGTTTAGGGTTTAGGGTTTAGGGTTTAGGGTTTAGGGGTTTAGGGTTTAGGGGCTTCAGGGGTTCTACCCTAAGCCTAACACCCTAAGACCTAGGGTTTGATGTTCCCGGACGGCCATCTAGCTGAAATTGCGCGCCGAAGCCCACGCCCAAGCACTTTAAACCCGACGCCTTGAACCCAGTGAAGATCCACTGTCCTATAGGACCCCTACACATACCTTGTATGCTCCCTTACAAACATGCGTAGCTGCCAAAATAGCCACCAGTCCCTCCTTAAGCCCCTAAACGCGCCTCCGACACGAAACCTGCACCCTCAGCCTAATCCCTGCATAGCCCCCCACAGCCCTAAACCCTAAACCCTAAACCCTAAACCCTAAACCCTAAACCCTAAACCCTAAACCCTAAATCTCAAACCCTAAAACCCCCCAAGCCTAAGATCAAGGCGACGGAAAGGTGTGTCGTCCGAGTCGGGATTGGGGTTTGGCCTGGAGCCTCCCTGAAGTGAGCCTACTAAAACCCTTAGCCCTGAAACCCTAAAGCCCAAACCCTAAACCCGAAACCCTAAACCGTAAACTCCAAACCCTAAACCAAGAGAGAGCGCCATGGCGCGATCCGGGCCGCCATGGTGCAGCTGCCGGTTGGAGGGGACGCACCGCTGCAGCCACAACTCATGGCCTGGGCGGCTTCGGGTGTAGGGTTGAGGGTTGAGGGTTGAGGGTTGTAGGTTTTAGAGTTTAGGGTTTGGGGTTTAGGGTTAGGGTTCAGGGTTGAGGGCTTAGGGTTGTAGGTTGTAGGGTTTAGGGCTTAGGGTTTAGGCTGGGGTTTAGGGCTTGGGGTTTGGGGTTTAGGGTTTAGGGTGAATGGCTGTACTAACGTTTTGGGTATTACGATTATTGCTTTTCTCACTATGATTAAATTGCAGTTCTAGCTACTACTGCTATACTTTGCATTATTACCATTGTTATTATTCTGCTCTGCGCAAGGATGGCATCTTCGCTGCAGTGAAGAAGATCGCTGATGGCATAGCACTAAGCTCCTATTCTCGTTACGATCACTGCGATTATTATTTGTATTGGAGTATTTGGGGTTTGGGAGGGGTTTATGAAGCACCCTCCCTTGTTCTTAAACCCTAAACCCGAAGCCCGGTTAACTCTTAAAGAACCTGGTTGGAGCCTTCGGCACCCCGAAACAACATATATATGTATATATATATATATATATGTGTATCTATACCTTGTGGTAGGCATAGGGAGGTTTAAGAGCCCTACGGTTGAAAACCCTAAACCCTAAACCCTATTTTGGGGCGGTAGCAGGTGTGTGCAGCGTTAGGGGCTCTATGGGTTGGCTCCTCTGCGTATCCACCGAGACGTAGACCTTCACCCTTTTGCCACAGCAGAGCTCTGCCACAGTAGAGCTCCTCACACCCTAACCCCTAAGCCCGAAACCCTAAATTTCCCCAAAAAGTCCTACACCCTAAACCCCCAAAGCCCTAAACAAAAAGCCTTAAAGTCCCTAAATCCCATGAACCGGTCTCAGGAAGGCCGCAGAGCTCGTGGAGAAGCAGACCAAGAACTTCTCCACCCTGCAGGAGGGTTGAGGGTGCAAGGGTTTTTTGAGGAACCCTAAACCCTAAACCCCAAACCCTAAACCCTGAACTCAAAACCCTAAGCCTTAAACCCCAAGCCCTAAACCCCAAACCCTATATCCAGGGGGTTACGCCGCACTTGGGGTTGCCTAAGTCAAGGGGTTAAGCCCCAGTTGAGCTTGGGGCTTTAGTGCCTCTTTTTGGGGGGGGGGGGGGGGGGGGGGGGTGGGAGGGATTTAGATTGGGAGGTTCTTCCCGGGCGGACGAGCATCACCCCAACCCCCCCCCCCCCACTGTCAACATGGAGGTTCATGGTACTTAGCAACGCGATAATGACTGTACTTATAACCCAAGTAGAAGCATATTAGGGCACTTAAGGGGCTTATAAGTACAGTCATTCTTGGGTTAATAAGTACCATGAACCTTCAGAAGCCCGGAGGTGGAACCTCATATATAATCTCCTGGACACGCCTATGCAAACCCCTTATTTGGTCAGTTCGCCTAGTTAGGGTTTCGGGTTGAGGGCTATTTCTCAAGGTTTGCTTGTGACAAAACAGTACAGGGGCCGCTTGCCCACGTTCTCCTTTCTTGCGAAAGGTCTGCTGAGGCCTGTGGAGCTTTGGCATCACACGAATGCCTTGCAGAGGTCCATTTCCGGGATCTTGTGCCTGCGCCCTAAACCCTAAACCCTAAACCCTAAACCCTAAACCCTAAACCCTAAACCCTAAACCCTAAACCCTAAACCCTAAACCCTAAACCCTAAACCCTAAACCCTAAACCCTAGACAGGAAGGGTTTTCGGAGCTTTTGGCCCTCGCAAGTGGGGTCCAAGATTATGTGCCTGGCGAGAAAGGTCCCGACCTCTCAGCATGCTGCCGCCATGATTCCGGAACGGGGAAGGATGTTAACGTTCAGAAAAAGTATGCTGTAAGCCGGGCTGTTGAGACTGCTAAGAGTCTGCTAAGAGTCTTAGGGTTCTGGGCTACGGTAGGGGTTGTAGTGGAGGATTTACTGTTTCAGGGATCTGTGGATCTGGCTAGTCAGCCCTGAACCCCTGAACCCATCGGCCCCTGTCTTGCGTAGTCATTCATTCGAGCAGTGTTCGGGGATGAATGTTTAGGATTTGGGGCTCAGGGTTTACGGGCTTGCGGTGCGCAGCATCCAGGCCAATCGCAGCCTGAACCCAAAACCCCCAATTTCCAGACCTTACACCCAGTCCTCAAACTCAACCCCGAACCCCTAGACCCCTAAACCACCCCAAACTCCAGACCTAAAACCCTAAACCCCCAAACCCCCCAATCCCCTACACCCTCGAGCCCTGCGTGCTAAACCATGCCGAGTCTCCAAACCTGTACGGCATCTAACTTGGTAGGCTCTTGGGATATGCCAAAGTGTTCAGAGGGCCTTCGGGGCCATCCTTGTCTAATTAGTGAAACTGGCTGCTTGAAGTCTCATGGAAATATTCCGTGATTCTGAAGCGCGGTATATCCCTTAACATTCTGAAAGCCCTAAACCTTATTCACCCTAAACGCTATAAACCCTTAAACTTGCAAGCCTCTACCCTAAACCCAAATGTGTTGGCGCCCCAAACTCCGCGACGAGGAAGTCTTTGCGGACATCCTCGGCTCGTTTAGCGCTTTGGCGTCAGAGGGCCCAACCATATGTAATTCAAGGGAATATGAAACTGCTTTCTGCTGTGGAGAGTTGCAGATGTCCCGTGTTTTTGGGTTTCGGGTTTAGGGTTTAGGGGCTTTCTTTGGGTTTCGGTGCTTTGGGTTGGGATGAGGGTTTCTTTCACAGGACCCTGGCATGAATGATCTCACGTAGCTAGCCCTAAAGCATCTATAAGTCCCACTGAGAAAGCGTCTGGGAACTTCATGGGTAGCTATAGCTGGGAGTTGCATATGTTGGGGTCCCCTAAAAACCAGCCGAGTCCCCTCCAAAGGCCCCGGACGCCCCCGACCCTCCTGGACCCTGTTCTTTTTTTGGTCTTTCGCCCGGTATTCCTTGCAGTCCAGGGTGCCAAAAAACGGCGCACAAGACAGTCACTCCCATGTCGCAATATTCAACTTGGTCTACAGGGCCTCTTGGGCTTACAGGGCGTATGGGGCAGAGGGCTTAGAGTAAAAACAAAACATCTTAAGCCTTACTTTTCGGTCAGCTTTGCCACAACAAGGGTCCCATTTGATGCTTTGTGTTCTTCTGAAATTTCGCACTCGTAAAACACACCATCAACCCTAAATCCGAAGCTCCAAACCCCTTCCGAACACCAGGCGTGCACCCGACTCTCCAGCAGAACATCGCACGAGCTTTGGCGAGCGAGTTCAGCTGGAAGGTTTAGGAGTTAGTAGAGGTTTAGGAATTTAGGGATGTAAGCATTTAGGATTCAGGGTCCCCGGTTTTCGGCATCTCCACGAGTGGGCTTAGGCTGTACAAAAGTGCCTGCATGCTCGCTTTGAGACTTCTGATTCCGATGTCTGCGCTTCCTTGATGAAAGAATCAACCTTGAAGTCTGGTAGGGGGATAAGAATGAACGTACATTCCTTCATCATGAACGTGCATTCCTTCAATATGGTGTAATCAAGCCCGAAATGATAGTAGGGATTCTAGTGCGAAGCAAGGCATACTCCCTTAACGACGGGTCGAGGCGGCAGCCTAAAACCCCTCCTGAGACTCCTGAAGTCAAGGTTGTTCAGGGTTTTTAGGGTTTAGGATTTGGGGGATTCCGAAAATAGGGGTACCATATTGGGGTCCGTATTGTCAGGGAATCCTGCTGTTGGGGGTTTATGTTCGGGGTCCCCTATTTTAGTGAATCCCCACATGAATTCGGAATCCTTCAGTGCGGCCAAACCCTGAGCCCAAGGTTTTTAAGTTTTTGGGCGCGGTTTCGGGTTTACGGCCCCCTAAAAGTCTCTTTCTAAACCCTGCAACCGGAACCTGTAAACATACAACCCTTGAACACTACATAACTTTAAGGCCTTTTCGGCCTGAAACCCTCTAAACCCTGCACCCTAAACCTAGAACCCAAAACCCGATAAACCTGGCAAGCCCTAAAAATCCCCTGTAAATCCTGTAAACCCTATAGATCCTGTAAACCCTAAAATCCCCTTTAAATCCTGTAAACCCTATAAATCCTGTAAACCCTATAAACCCCAGATGTGATCTTGTGGCCGTATTCGGGAAAAAAACCCATAAACCCTCTAAACCTCAGAAAAAAAAAAAAAACATATCCCCGATAAACCCTGTAAACCTTATAACAACCCTATAAACCCTATACACCCTAAAAACCCTCTAAACCTTAAAAGCCCTATAAACCCTATAAACCTTCTAAATCCTATAATTAGAGCCTATAAACCTCAGAAAAAAGCTGTAAACCCTATAAACCCTATAGATCCTATAAATCCTATGAACCCTATAAACCTACAATAGAAGCCCTACAAACCCTCAAAACCCTCTAAACCCTTACAAACCTTATAAACCCGAAAAAAGTCCCAAGGCAGGCCGCGCACCCTAAACCCTAAACCCTAAACCCTAAACCCTAAACCCTAAACCCTAAACCCTAAACCCTAAACCCTAAACCCTAAACCCTAAACCCTAAGCCCTAAGCCCTAAGCCCTAAGCCCTAAGCCCTAAGCCCTAAGCCTAAACCCTAAATCCTAAACCCTAAACCCTAAACCCTGCGCCCCAGGAATCGACGGCTCCTTCTCCTCTCCGCTCAGCGACCTGCAACGCTTCGTAGCACCTCGCCTTTGGGGGTTTAGGGGTTTAGGTTTTAGGGTTTTAGGGTTTAGGGTTTAGGGTTTAGGGTTTAGGGTTTTAGGGTTTTAGGGTTTAGGGTTTAGGGGTTTAGGGGTTTAGGGGTTTAGGGGTTTAGGGGTTTAGGGGTTTAGGGGTTTAGGGGTTTAGGGGGTTAGGGGTTCAGGGGTTCAGGGGTTTAGGGTTTAGGGGTTTAGGGTTTAGGGGTTTAGGGTTTAGGGGTTTCGGGGTTTAGGGGTTTAGGGGTTAGGGGTTTAGGGGTTTAGGGGGTTTAGGGGGTTAGGTTCAGGGGTTCAGGGGTTCAGGGGTTTCGGGGTTAGGGTTAGGGGTTTCGGGGTTTAGGGGGGGTTTAGGGGTTAGGGGTTTAGGGGTTTGGGGTTTAGGGGTTTAGGGTTTAGGGTTTAGGGGTTTAGGGGTTAGGGTTTAGGGGGGGTTTAGGGGGGTTTAGGGTTTAGGGGTTTAGGGGTTTAGGGGTTTAGGGGTTTAGGGGTTTAGGGGTTTAGGGGTTTAGGGGTTTAGGGGGTTTAGGGTTTAGGGGTTTGGGGTTTCGGGGTTTTAGGGGTTTTAGGGGTTAAGGGTTTAGGGGTTTAGGGGTTTAGGGGTTTAGGGGTTTAGGGGGTTTAGGGGGTTTAGGGGTTTAGGGGTTTAAGGGTTTTTCGGTTTTAGGGTTTTGGGGCTTAAGGGTTTAGGGGTTTAGGGGTTTAGGGGTTTAGGGTTTAGGGTTTTAGGGTTTTAGGGGTTTAGGGGTTTAGGGGTTTAGGGGTTTAGGGTTTAGGGTTTTAGGGTTTTAGGGGTTTAGGGGTGAGGGTTTAGGGGTTTAGGATTTAGGGTTTTTCGGTTTTAGGGTTTTGGGGTACATGGTAGCACCTCTGCCTTTGCTGGCTACACGTGGGGGTTTCCGAACACAGGGGTACGCTTTTTGGGGGGGTCCCTTTAACCGGGATTCTATTCTATTTCGGGTATAAAAAGGGGAAGAGGCCCTAAACACGGCTATTTGTTTTGGGGCGAGGGGGTGGGGGGGGGCTGAGGTTCTTGATCATCTCTTTTTGGGAGGAGTGTTTTTTGCTTCAGAGACTTGTGGTTTACTGTCGTGGCTTTGGGGTGTCAGGGGTTTTCAACAGGCCGTGGTGTATACCCTCTAAGAGACTCCCCAAACCCCAAACCCCTCGACTGTAGAGTTCTGGGTGCGGAGTCCCTAAACCCTAAACCCTAAACCCCAAACCCTAAGCCCTAAATTTTAATTAAAACCTAAACCCTAAGCCTTGAACCCTAAACTGCATGCAAAGACCCACGTTCTTTAACCCCCTCCTAAAGTCTAAACGGGGTACAGGTAGCAGTGAGTCTGCAACTTGCAGACCGTCTGTCGGTCCTTCCCCCTTGGGTTTAGGGTTTATAGGATTTAGGGTTTAGGGTTGAGGGTTCAGACCCCTAAGCCCTAGACTCCAAACCCTTCAGGGCGGTTCGGGGTTTAGGGCGTGGATTAGGGTTGTAAGGTTTGGGTTTGAAAAAAGAAGAATTTAGGACATTTTTCCGCCCGTCGCCAAGTTTCCCTGAGTACGTTATGAACCCAGCTGCAAACCTAATTAACGCCTTAAGGCCGTAAACCATAAACCCCAACCCTATACTCCTAACCCTAAACCCTAAACCCTAAACCCTAAACCCTAAACCCTAAACCCTAAACCCTAAACCCTAAACCCGGCATCCTGCGCCCAAGCCCCCCCAGCACCGAGATCGTCCTCGGCTTGTGCCAGCGGGACCTCTTGTGCATAGCGCCGGCCAGGGCCTGAAAGACGCTTAGGGTTTAGGGTTTAGGGTTTAGGGTTTAGGGTTTAGGGTTTAGGGTTCCCTTTAAAAGCCCACTGACCTATGTAAATACGCGACCCCGAAAACCCGAGCACCGCAGCCCCCGAATCCGGCACCATGCCACCTTTAGAAGCTACACCTCAGGACCTTAAACCCCGAATCCTGGCACCTTCAATGCAAGAACCCTTTTCCCTGAACCTTAAGCCCTGAACCTTGAACCCTAAACCCCTAAGCCCTGAAGCTTCGAACTGAAGCAGCCTTTAACAACCATTTCTTCAAAATAATCCACAGCTTTTGTTCTTAGAAAGCTTAGCGCCCCAACATAAACGCTGAACGCTGGCCCTCAAGCCTCAAATCCTAGACCGGCACCCTGCTTGGAGGTTCATGTGTAGGTAGAACTGTGGTGTGTGTGTGTGTGTGTGTGTGTGTGTGTGTGTGTGTGTCTGTGTGTCTGTGTGTCTGTGTGTCTGTGTGGGGGCGGGGGGGGGGGGGGGTAACTGTGCTTAGCCGGCTGGAACCTTTTTGGGGACACTTCTAAGGCTACTTATAGCTGCCCATGAGTACCTTGCAGTAAGCGCATTTTGCATTCCTATGCACATGAGACAGATGTCACTGGCATACTTGGTAGAGAGAAGAGAGGGGACAGGGGAAGACGGACAGAAGACAGATCTGTCATCAGACACATGAGCTCGGAGTAGATCTGGGTTTAGGGTTTAGGGTTTAGGGTTTAGGGTTTAGGGTTTAGGGTTTAGGGTTTAGGGTTTAGGTTTAGGGTCTAGGGCCCCCCTATTTTTTTCGGGAGACCTCCGGCTGCATGACCCTGGACCCCTAACCCGACACCCCTAAACCCTGAATCCATGTCTCTGCTATCAAATGCAACAGCATGATGTCATTGCAACAAATATGGTGCAGCTATGTGAATATATGTATGTCATATAGTATAATAATAATAATAGCAAAAGCAATAACAATAACAATAACTACAGCAGTAATAATAATAACAATATTAATAATAATATCAATAATAATAGTAATAACAATAACAATAATAATAACAATAATAATAACAATAATAATAATAATCATAACATAATCATCATCTAATCATATGTGCATACATATGTTCGCGTGTTGCGGAGGCGGGCTTCGGTCAGTGGGCGGCCGCGCTGGTGTCGATGCTGGCGCGGTTTACAGGGTTTAGGGTTGGGTTTATAGGGTTTATAGGGTTTTATAGGGTTTTTATAGGGTTTTTATAGGGTTTTTAGGCTTTTTTTGGGGTTTATAGGGTTTATAGGGTTTGTAGGGTGTATAGGGTTTATAGGGTTTATCGGGCTTATAGTGTTTTATAGGGTTTTTACAGGGTTTATAGGGTTTATAGGGTTTATAATGGTTTATATGGTTTATCGGATTTTTTGGGCTCATAGGGTTTATAGGGTTTGTAGGGTGTATAGGGTTTATAGGGTTTATAGTGTTTATAGGGTTTAGGGTTGGGTTTATAGGGTTTATAGGGTTTATAGTGTTTATAGGGTTTATAGGGTTTTTAGGGTTTTTAGGGTTTATAGGGTTTATAGGGTTTATAGGGTTTGTAGGGTTTATAGGGTTTGTAGGGTTTATAGGGTTAGGGTTTCAGGTTCAGGTCTACGGCGTTTTTGAGAAGCACTTTTGTTGTTTTGTAAAAGGGCCTTTAGCAAACATGTAACAAGGCTTTACGAGCCGTTGAGTAGCTGGCTTAGAGCTTACGGGTTCGCGGTTCCAGGCCTTACGCCCTGAGCTCCTAATCCTAAAGCCCAAAACCCAAACAGTCAACATCCATTCACCAGCCCATCAGCAAGACTTTGACTCGCACTAGCCTGGGTTGCTTTAAGACTTGCGCGAGAGACGGTCAATAAGACAATGGCCAATAACAAAAGGCGCCCGTTCTCTTGCACTCCTGAGGGCAGGGGTGATCTCCACCTTGAGCCCTAGATCGCGAAACTCCCAATTCTGTATGTTTAGGGTTTACGGTTCCCTAAATCCCGCGCCCTGGAATGGTAGGGTTATCAGCACCGCCCAAAAGTATGAGTTCTAGCCAGTTTTACGTGTAGTTGCCTTACAGATGTCCCAGCTCTACCAACCCTATGTCCCTGGCACCTCATGGCTAAAAGCCTCCCCCCAACCCTAGAACCCTGAACCTCAAAACCCAGAATCCCCAAACCCCACAACCCTAAACAGAAAACTTACAAACCCCTAAAGCACCACACCACCCAAACCCCCGAAGCCCAAAGCCCCAAAGACAAACAAAACACCCCTAAACCCCCCAAACCAAAAGAAACGAAAACACCCTAACACACCCCAAAACTCGCCACAACTAAGCAATACTAACACCCCAAACCAACACAAACCAAGACACCCCCTAAAACATCCCCTAAAACACCCACTAAGACTCCCTTAAACCCCCTAAAACTTAAAAAGCCCTCCAAAAACTCCCGAAAACCCACCCCCAAAGCCCCCCCTAAAGCCCCCGAAAAAGCTGCCCCGCTAACCCTAAACCCTAAACCCTAAGCCCCGAAAGCCCTTCCCGAAAGCCACCCCCCCAAAGCCGCGAAGAGGCCGTCACGAATCGACACCGCAAGATCTACTCGGAGCCGCGCCAGGGACTCTGCAGCTTGGCGAAGATGCTTTAGGCTGTAGTTAGGGTTTAGGCGTTTAGGGTTTAGGGCTAGGGTTTAGGGTTTAGGGTTTTATAGGGTTTTATAGGGTTTTATAGGGTTTTATAGGGTTTTATAGGGTTTTATAGGGTTTTAGGAGAGTTTAGGGTGTTGGCTTTTGGGGTTTAGGCCTTTGGGCTTTCTTGCCTTTGAAAAGGTTTTCAAGGACTTGTAAGGTCTTCGGGTTTAGAGGCATATGAGGTTTTCGGGTTCTGGGGCTCATAAGGTGTTGCGGTGCGAGGGCTTATAAGGTTTCAGGGCCGATCAGATTTTTAGGGTTTCGGGGTTGTAGGGACTAAGGTTTCGGGTCTAGGGGCTTCGGGCTTTAGGGTTTTTAGGGTTCGGGGGCATAGGGTTGGGGGTGGAGGTTGAAGGTCTGTTGTGTTGTTTTTGTTTCTTGAGAAATTTCCAGGTTGCAGAGCCCCTTGAGGCTGTGGGACTTTTGGGGTTTAGGGTTTAGGGGTTTAGGGGTTTAGGGTTTAGGGTTTAGGGTTTAGGGTCTCCAGGTTGGGGGGCATTGGGGGTGGCCGCAAGGTTGGGTGTTCGGGTTTAGGGCTTCGGGGTTAGGGGTTAGGAACCCCCAAGGCTTCTGGGCCCTCAAGCGCTCCCAGCCTTTTTGGGAAGTGCGCGTGCATGCGCCTAGAAGTACAGAATCTCCCCGGTAGGGCGTGCCTTCGAGGTCTCTTCAAAGCACTTCTGTGGGTCTAGGTTTCAGGGGGTAGGGTTCGGGGAGGGATGGGGTGTAGGGTTTGTGGTCTAGGGCTTCGGTTGATGAATTCTTTAAGCCAATAGGCAGAGTGGCGAACCCTCTTCGTTTGCCTGTCTTGGGGAAATCTAACCCTGAAGGCTTTCAAGCGCTCTGGAAGGGGAACCCAAGCGACCGAGCCCTACATGATCCCCGCCCCTGCCCCTAGTATTATCATGGCACATGATCGTACCTCATAGTGCATTATAGGATATGACGGTCTAGCATCGTAGAGTTTGGTACGTTGTCGTCTATGGGGAAATTTTGAACATCAGGTTAGGCCCAAAACGGGACAGGTAGGAGAACATTTCCTTCCTGAAGCGTTTGTCTGCAGTGATTGGCCAGAGAAAGGTTTTGGTGATCGTGCTATCTTACTGCACTGCAGCTGATACGGTGCGTCACGTGCTACACACCTGCCAGGAGTCCTGCAGTCTTTTGGAGGATCAAACGGGTGAGCCTGTCATCGACGCCTTTCTCATCTCCCGTAAGCCTACTGGGAAGCAGGGCAAAAAGTCGGTCCTTGACATTCTATTTGATGGCGTATTTCAGACAGTGACAACCGAGCCTTTCGCTTGTTGTGCAACCAAAGAAACCCAAACCCTAAACTCTTCAAATAAACCCCCCAACCCTCAAACCCTAAGCCCCAAGCCCTAAGTCCTAAACCCTAAACCCTAAACCCTAAATCCTTAAACCCTAAGCCCTAAACCCTAAACCCTAAACCCCAAGCTCTTCGAAGAATCCAGCGGTTGCTGGTGCCCAGGCCCGGATGCGCTCATCCTCTGCGCCACCGACGCGGCCTGCAACGAGGCTGTGGGGTTTAGGGTTTAGGGTTTAGGGTTTAGGGTTTAGGGTGGTTCTTCCTCCTCTCAGAACCCTACCAGCTTTTTAACCCCAAACACTCCCAAGCCCTCGATCCCCTTTCCTCCGAGCCAAACCCCCCAACAAAGACCTTGATAGCCCTTTTGGTGTTCACCAAGGGGCCAATCTGGAGGGTCTTCTTCATCTTGTGGGGAGGCGGCTAGGGGCTGTGGGGCTTTGGGGCTTTGGGGCTTTGGGGCTTTGCGTCTTTGGGTTAAGGCCAAGTTCCTGAACCGCCTGGCTTCGCTGGCCTGCCTATCACCCTAAACCTTAAACCCTAAACCCTAAAACCTAAACCCTAAACCCTAAACCCTAATTAAACCCTAAACCCTGCTTTTCCAGGTGGCGGAGCTGGGCGAGAAACTGGCGAAGGGCACCGACCTGCAATGCTACCGGGCGGCACTCCGGGCCCTGAGCCCCATACTTCCCCCAGACCACCCCCAAAGCACCCGAACCCCAAACCCCAAACCCAAACCCCAAACAAACCCCAAACCCCAAACCCCAAACCCCAAACCCCAAACCCCAAACCCCAAAACCCTAACCCCTAAACCCCAAACCCCTAAACCCCAAACCCCAAACCCCAAACCCCAACCCCCAAACCCCAACCCCAAACCCCAAACCCCAAACCCCAAACCCCAAACCCCAAACCCCAAACCCCAAACCCCAAAACCCAAACCCCAAACCCCAAACCCTAAACCCTAAACCCTAAACCCCAAACCCCAAACCCCAAACCCTAAACCCTAAACCCTAAACCCTAAACCCTAAACCCTAAACCCTAAACCCTAAACCCTAAACCCTAAGCTGCCCAGGCTTGCGCTGCGACGCCGGGAGCCAGGGCCCGGGCGGGCTGGTCCTGGTGGCCACGCCGCAGCCGCGGCCTCGGAATACAGGGGTCTTAGAGGGTTTAGGGTTTAGGGTTTAGGGTTTAGGGTTTAGGGTTTAGGGTTTCAGAAGTTTAGGGTTTAGGGTTTAGGGTTGAGGGTTAATTTAGGGTTCAGGGTTATAAGTTATAGTTTTCGGGTTTTGGGCTTCAGAAGTGCTGGTAAGTAGGGCTGCAAGTATGGTGGCTTTTGGGGTTTCGGGCCTTTAGGACCTTTGGGGCCTTCAAGGCCTTTAGGGTCGCTAGGGTTTGGGGTTTGAGGGCTTATTTTTCGGGTTTGCGGCTTGGGGTTTAGGGTTAAGGGCTTATGATTTGGTAGGGTTCAGCAGGGCGCAGCGTTTGGGGTCTCGTTTGTGTTTGAGTTTCTGTTCGCAGAATTAAAGCCCAAGGGGAATACTTCAAAGTATGATTTGCATTTGCAGCTCTAAGGAAAGTAGAGGAAATGGGGCGGGGGGGGGGGGGGAGGGGGTGTGTGTGGTGCTGTTTAATTTAAGGGCTCAGCGTTGAGGGTCGACCTTTGGGGCTTCGGGAACCCTAAGCTCAAAGATTTCGACCGATCACTTATGATTGAACTTGAAAACGTAAAGCCTGTAAAGACTCAGCTGTATAAGCCATATACTGAACCCTCTGAAACCCCTAAACCCCTAAACCCTGGGCGGTGACTGTCACTGCGAGAGTTAGAGCCTTCGAACAACAAGGGCCCACAAGGATACCCAAGCCTTTGAATGGCTTCAGGCCTCGAGCATTCTCCACGTTAGGGTTTAGGGTTTAGGGTTTAGGGTTTAGGGTTTAGGGTTTAGGGTTCAGAGGGTATGTGTGTCTGAAGGGGGGCAAGGTGGCAAGGTGGCGCTGGAGGTTGGGGGGTGGTGAGTCGGTGATGTCCGTGTGGGGCACTTCGACTTACTTGACAAAGGAGCAAAGCCAGCAACAAAAACCCTAACCCCCCTAACCCTTAACATAGTAATATAATAAGTAGTATAGTAACAGACTGGCCCCTAAAGCCCCTAAAGCCCTACACCCCAAAACCCTTAAACCCTAAACCTCTCATTAAAACCCGAAAGCCTTCAACCCCCCGCCCCACCCAAGTCCTTGATGTTTAGATTGCACACCTAAAGCCGTAAACCCTAAACCCTAAACCCTAAACCCTAAACCCTAAACCCTAAACCCTAAACCCCAAACCCTAAACCCTCAACCCTAGCTAACGGTTAGATTGCACGCTCCTGCGCGCCGCAGGGAGCTGCTGGAGTTCAAGGACGCGCCTCTTTGAGGTCAGATAAATGCGCTTAGGGTTTAGGGTTCAGGGTTCAGGGTTCAGGGTTCAGGGTTAAGGGTTTGGGGGTTTAGGGTTTGGAGTTTGGGGCTTAGGGAATCAAGCCTTGGTTCAGTCCCTTGAAAGAGACCAAGCGGAGGAGCAGGTCGACCTCAAGGATTGTTTCGGTCTCGTCCTGCATGGAGCGAGCACGATGTCGCCAAGCTGCCAAGGGTTTGGTGGGGTTTGGGGCTCTTAGTGGGGGGGGTTTAGGGGAGGTTTATGGCGTTTGGGGGAGGTAGGGGAGGTTTAGGGCTTTTAGGAGGGGTTTAGGGCGAGGTTTAAGAGTTTGAGGGGAGGTTTCCGGGCTTGAGGGGAGGTTTTCGGGGGTTGGAGGTTCTATAGGGTTGGGGACGCAAGAACTTTGAGGGCTCCGGGTTAAGGATCCACTGGGGCGTAGCTTTTTGCTGCACCCCGCCTTGGATCCCACAACCTTAAACCGTCCTGAAGGTTTAGGGTTTAGGGTTTAGGGTTTAGGGTTTAGGGTTTGGGGTTTAGGGTTTAGGGTTTAGGGTTTAGGGTTTAGGGTTTCGGGTTCACGGCTTCGGGTTTAGGGCTTAGGTTTCCCCTCAGTCCCAATTACCCTTCATACACCCCTTTCGATTCCCCCCAAAAAACTCCGAAGACCCTCGTAAGAGGATGTCAGGTTAGGGTTAAATCTAAAGTATTGTTTTGTTTGAATCTCCGTGGTGGTGCTTAAATCATTCCCAACCCTACAAAACCCTAAACCCAAAAGCCCCTCTAAAATTCGAAGTCTCATGGCTAGGATTCATGCTTTCTGGTTCTTCTCGCCGCACGGCCTGCGTCACCATGGCCCGAAAGTTCTTCTTCTTGTGTAAAGAGTCGTCGCCTCGGAAGCAACGGCTTGTTACACTGAGAGGGTAGCCATAAGCCCTGAGCCCTAAACCTTTCGAATACTTCCCCCAGGTTCCCCATATGCTCATTCAATCATACACCCTGAACCTTCCCCGCTCGGACCCTCACCTCCAGAGCATGTTCAGGCCCCCCCCCCCCCAGTACTTCTATCTTCCGCATGCGCCACTACAACCCTACACCCCCTTTAACCCCCTAGAACTCCCACACCCCTAAGCCCCTGAACTCCTGAGCCCTGAACCGTAAACGCCCTGAAGCATCCAGCCATCCATCAGCCTTAAACTGTACGAGGCTCGACATGGGCTTGATGGGCGACCTGCGCCGAATCACCAAACACCACGGCATGCCAAAGTGCCTTGGGCAGGATGGGTTGTTCCAGGTTCAGGAATGACTTTCTTAGGAGGACTTGCTCAAGCCTCTAAGGCCCTTCAGCACCAACAGCCACGCAAGTCCCCAAAGCCCAGCCCCAAGCCTAAATGTCTAATCATTCAAGAACGCTGAACCCTCACCCAAACAAAGTACCCGAAAAGTACCTCAATCACGCTGCGTGGCCTGTCGCATGGGTAGGGCTTTGAGGGTTTTGTTTGAGTTTGAGGATGTTGAGCAAGGGCTGTTTAAGAAGTCGGAGAAAAGGGGGCTATGCTTGGGGCACATGGCCTTGTTCAGGGCTTCCGGTTTAAGACTCGTTCTCTCAGGCCCCAATGTGCCCGTGAATATGCCCAAGCTTCTTCAAGATACTTTCTCAGCCCGAAGCCCTCCTACGTCCTACTTGAAGGCTCATGGGTAGTGGTTAGAAGTAGGATTTAACTACAGCAAGTCAGTCCTAGTTGCTAGGGACAGCTTCCTTGCTGATAGCTTTTTATCTCCAGAGACAGCTAGTCACGAATCTCCAAGTGGCCCTAAACCCGAAGCCCTAAACCCTAAACCCTACTTAAACCCTAAACCCTGAACCCTGCACACCTCAGTTCCAGGCTGATTCCTTTCCTCTGAGGGTTCTGTACCTTGACACCTCGCATCAAGGGCTTTCGGATTGCTGCGCGTGGGCCCTGTGAGGCCCCTAGACACTCAGCTTCCAATACTAAACACCCAGACCCACTGAGCCCTAAGCCCTTAGGGTTTAGGGTTTAGGGATAGGATTTAGGCTCAGGGTTTAGGGTTCAGGGTTTAGGGCCGTTTAGGGTAAGCCGCCACTGCTGACAGGGCAGATCATCGACACACGCAGCTTGTCGATGGAATACCTGCCTTTCAAGTCCTAATTAAATCCGGAAGCCCTAGAATGGTCTTTGCCTTTTCTTGGTAGCCCAGGGGTACCCTTTGCCCTTGTTTTTGGGTTACCCTATAAAGTAACCAACCCAAAACGGGTGCCCTTATTATAATATAGTTACTGGGCTACCAAGTTTTGCAGAGTCACCTAAACCCCGAAACACCAAAGACGTATCGGACGGACGGTTTGTGCCATCGGCTTTTCGGTGGCCTTGGGGTTTGGGGTTTCGAGTACTCATCTGTCATGAGACAAAATGAAGGCTACCCTGCCTAGAACCCGACTACCAAGTTCTGTTGCTAGATTCTCAGCCTTCCCCCTTAAACGCCCCCCCCCCCCCCCCCCCCTCACCACAAGCCCGAAAACGAAAAGCCCTGCAGAAATTCCAAAAGCCCTAAGCCCCAAGACTCAAGACACTTGAACCGCATAACGCCCTGGGACATGCACCTACAACCCAAGAAAGCCTCATGAAGCCCCAAGCCCTAAAAATCCGAAACCCTCGGACCCAAAAGCACGCTACGTACGGCAGGTGTTCTCAATGGCATGCGGTAGGTTCCCCAAACCCTAAACCCTAAACCCTAAACCCTAAACCCTAAACCCTAAACCCTAAACCCTAAACCCTAAACCCTAAACCCTAAACCCTAAACCCTAAACCCTAAACCCCTAAACCCTAAACCCTAAAACCCTGTGTAGAACCCTTTCGAGCAGCCCCTGCTTGGGGTCGTGGCTGCGGGATCCCCAGGATGGTCTTTGGCTCCCACAGTCCGAGGTGCGGCATGGGGTTTAGGGTTTAGGGTTTAGGGTTTAGGGTTTAGGGTTTAGGGTTTAGGATTTATTGTGTAGGGCTCAGGGTTTAGGGTCTAGGGTTTAGGGTTTTGAGTTGTTTATGGGGCTTCGGGGGTTTAGGGTTTAGGGCTTAGGGTTTCAGATGTCGGGTTTGAGGTTTTGGGGGCATAGCGGTTTTGGCTCTTTTTGCTGGGGTCTTGGGTTGAAGGGTGTGGGTCTCAGGTTTAGGCGTTCAGGGTTATACGCTGAGGCTTCACAAGTTTCTGCTTTTTTGGTATTTGTTATATATATATATATATATTACCTATTGCATCTCATATGACCCTACAAACGGGTACCGGGGGGATCCAGATAAGCCCTTCACACCTTGTACAAACCCTGGCCACAGGCTCAAGGAACTTGCCAGCGAGCTCCTTTTCGTCCCGCTGACCGCGACGACGGCCGCCAGACTGCCCTTCTCTTTCTTGGCTTTAGGGCTTAGGCCGTTTGGGGTTTAGAGTTTAGGGTTTAGGGTTTAGGGTTTCGGCTTTAGGGTTTAGGGTTTAGGGTTTAGGGCCGTTGAGGCTCTTGATCAAGGGATTAAGACTCGCTCCAGTAAGGTTGGACCCCTAAAGGTTCCCCGCCAAGATACTCCCAATATGGCTCCAAGATTCCCTTAGGAATCCTTAATGAGGGCCCCCAAACCCAAGGGTACAACCTTAACCCTAAACCCTAAACCCTAAACCCTAAACCCTAAACCCTAAACCCTAAACCCTAAACCCTAAACCCTAAACCCTAAACCCTCTTGGGGTGCTCATGATTGGGTTTGGGGTTTCAGGGCTCTTGGGCCTTCGAGACAAAGGCTCACCTTTTGCACCCCCTCTTTGGCGTTCTTTTTTGTTTCACGAGCTCGTCTTCAACATGGAAAGAAGCCGGAACCTGCAACCTTGTACAGGGGCCTTAAAACAGTTGCAATAGGGTGTTGGCATTGGGGTTTCTTATAGTAGAACTATACGGGGACCATAAGGGCATACTGCTAGAACTTATTCCGATCCCTATGGTGCCCTGAACCCTAAACCCTAAACCCCAAACCCTAAACCCTAAGCCCTAAACCCTAAACCCTGATTAGCTTCGTTTGTTCGCATGGCAGGTCTCGGTCTCAGGCCCCATCACCATGGAGGTGCGCCGAGTAGAATCACCATGGGGACGACATGAACCCCTAAACCCTAAACCCTAAACCCTAAACCCTAAACCCTAAACCCTAAACCCTAAAAGGGGCTTATGGTTCAGATGACCTTAATAGGGGTAAAAGTAGTATATACTACAAGGGGCTTATGGCTCATGTAATCTTAATAGGGGTTATAGTAGTACAGGGTATATGACCCCCGATTTTAAGGTTCATGTGGTCCACAAGGCAGAGGACAGATCTTCCCGCTGCGCAGAGTAGCTGGAGGCCCCAAGGCCCGAAACCCAACTCCCTAGCCCTGAACCCTAAACCCAACTCCCAAGCCCTGAGCCCTAAACCCTCCCCTAAACCCTAAACCCCATACGCCCGGTTTGTTAAGGGCATATCAAGGGGTTTAGGTCGTAAGGCCACTCAAGGTATCTCTCAAACTTCACCATCAAAGACCATGGGGTTTAGGGTTTAGGGTTTCGGGTTAAGGGTCTAGGGTCTAGGATTTAGGGTTTAGAGTTTCTAGAATTCTGAACTACAGCTCCCCATTTTGGGTTTAGGCTTAGGGGTTGGGGCTTGGGGCATTAGAATATTGGGGTAAAGTAGCGCAGGATTTTTTGGCGACTTAGGCGTTTGAGGCAGGGCACAAAGGCCCAACCCTAAGGAACACCCGCGAGATTCTAAAACCCTAATCCGCCAAGACGCCCTGCACAAAAAAAGCGCCCCTTAACACCTAAAGCCCTGGATTCCCAAATCATTTCGCCTGTTGCAAAAACGGCTTAGGACTTAGGGTTTCGGGTTGGGAGGTTCCCCCTTATACTGACAGTCCTTAACAGGGATTGTAGTACCCCCTATTGTAATCCCTCTTAAGGAAACGTTTCATGCTCCAGCACTTGGTCCACGCGATTTGTACGGAAGCTTTACTGGCCACCAGCACGCTATCCACCGTCGTGATCGTTTACTACGCCATACAGCGCACGTTTCTCCAAGCTTGGTTGCTGCAGCTGTGTGAAAACTGCTTGGAGGACGTCGCTTCCGGCCTTGGTTTGTCGAGCACAGCAACTGCTTACAACATCCTCCGAACGCTGCAAGTGTTTTTGCCGGGAGAAGCTGGCGGTAGCGAGTTCGACTTTCTTTTTTGTACCTGCCACGCCGCTCAGCAAGCGATGACACCTACAAAGGCTCGCACTTGCTGAGTTCCGCATGGCGTTACATCGCTGTTAGTATAAGGGGGAACATCCCAAGCTTAGGGTTTAGAATGTAGGGTTTAGGGTTTAGGGGTTAGGGTTTAGGGTTTAGGGTTTAGGGTCCCAAACCGTCAGGCTCGCGAGTGCCATCGGTCTTTGGAGCATTCCTGGGTGTCGTGGCGAAGGGTTGAGGGAGGTCTTTCGAGGGTTTTTCGAAATTAGGGGGTACCTTACTTGCTTGGGGTTTAGGGTTTAGGGTTTAGGGTTTAGGGTTTTGGGTTTAGGGTTTAGGGTTTAGGGGTACCTTACTGGGGGTACCTTACTGGGGGTCCCTGGTATAAGGGAATCCTACTATTTGGGGGTTCAGTTTAGGGGTCCCCTATTTTCGCACACCCCCAGGTCTTTTGGGTTTTCTTTTTTTTGGCGGGGCTTTATGGATCTTAGGGTTCAGGGCGCAAGGGTTTTTCGTGTTAAGGGCGCCAGGGTTTGTAGGGTTGAGGGTCTTTGAGAGTTTTAGGATTGATGGGTGTTGTGACTTCAAGGGTTGAGCGCTGATGATTCGAGGGTGCGCGGTGGTTTAGGGTTTAGGGTTTTGGGTTTAGGGTGCCCAAATATCCCCTGATTATGCCTGTTGGGCGACCTGGTCTTGTTGCCTGATCCTCTTTCTGGAGTGGTATCCGAAAACCTTTCTTATTCTTATTCATATCCTTTTCTTGTTCTTCTTCCTATTAGCATCATCATCATCATCATCATTATCATCATCATTATCATCATCATTATCATTGTTTTTATTGTTATGATTTTGATCATCGTCATTATCATATATCCTTTTTTTTGGGGGGGGGTGGGGGGGGGGTCGTGGGGAGGCCGCTTGGTGCCCTAAACCCCTGAACGCTAAACCCTAGAGTCCCTAGAGGCCCTGGCGGCCCTGGACCCTCTAAACCACAACCCTAAACCCAGAAGGCCCTGGACCCTAAACCCACAACCCTAAACCCCAGAGTCCCCCTAGAGGCCCCCCTCTAAACCACAACCCTAAACCCTAGAGGCCCTGGACCCTAAATCCTATGGGGATGGAGCTTTTTGGGCCCCAGGAAGTGGTGGCATGGGACGAAAAACTGGCGAAGTTGCCACCTGGCCTACGAGAGTCGGGGCTCGGGGCTTTCGTGTTTGGGCGTTTAGGGTTTGTAGGGTTTATAGGGTTGAGGGTTTATAGGGTTTGTAGGGTTTTAGGGTTGTAGGGTCTAGGGCTTAGGGCGTTGGAGGGGGGTGTTAAAAGTTTTGGTTTTGAGAGTTGTAGCACGAAAAGGGAAGGAAGCTGAGGCTTTAGGGTTTAGGGTTTGTCTTTGGCTCGGCCTCACGGCAATAAAGCTTATTAAATTTAAATGCTGAGGTTGTGAGTGTACAGGCTTACGTAGGGGACGTGCCGTACTGCATGCTTCCGACACGTGGTTTTCGTGTTGTGCTGATGTTGCACCTAAGTCGGGACCATGATGACCTTGGAACCCAAATCTTGTAGAACCCCCCAGCGGTGCCCTTTTTCCTGATTATTCCCTTATAAACCTTCAGACCTTTAACCAAAACTGACAGGGTTCTTTTTTTTGTAAGTTAAGGCCTCGGGTGTTTAGGGCTAAAGTTTGGGGCTTCTAAAGTTTACACCTTGGCAAATGATTGGTAGTTTTAAGTAGAGCTATGCATGCACTCCTCAAGGGTCCTAGGGATTGTCCTTCGAATTATCACACTCTGCCAGCTCCGTGGGGATTAGGATCTGGGAAATCGGGGACTTCGGGTCTTTGGATTTTGGGGCTCCAGTTTTTTTAACTTAGGGTTCAGGATTTGCAGATTTTGGGTTGAGGTCAGGAAGATCTCTGCCCTTGCGCCAAGGACGTCCGTCGTGAGAGACTTCTTGCGGAGAACAAAGTGGCAGCAGCAAGTCGTAGCCGCGAAGCTAATTCAGGTCGGCTGTTGGTTGGGCATTCCAGACCTTAAGTGAGGGAGCTCTACCACAAAGCTATAGTCTGCAACCCTACACCCTCAACCCTCAAGCCTCAACACCCTAAACCTTACAGGCTTTTCGAGTACAACCCCGAACACCGGAATCCTACACTGTTTTGGGTTTCGGGCTTTGGAACAGCGGTACACCTCACCCCCAGGGGCCTGTGGATGACACTTTTGGGTTTAGGGTTTAGGGTTCAATCACATCCCGTGCCTTTTGAAAGGAGCCTCCCATCATGGTTGGGTGGAGATCTCATTTGACGTTCCCGCTGAAAGCCATGGGTACGGAATTTAGGGTGCAGGGACCCCCTAAACCGTTGAGGGAATGCCTATAACATGGCTCACAAAGCCCGCAACATCTAAACCAGACGTTTGTTCTGTTTGTTTTTTTTTTTTTTTTGGGGGGGGGGTGTTTTGAAGAAGAGCAGACGTGTCGCACATGCGTGAAGCATACCCCAAACACCCCTGAAACATACCGAGAAACGCACACGCGAAACACACCCCCACAATGCATCTAAAGCAGCTGCAGATGCCGCGAAACATGCCCCGAAACATACCCCAAAACATACCCTGATCCTAGCACATGTCGCCGGCCCCCCCAAGCAATCGAACAAATCCAAATGTCCTGGTTGGGGGGGGGGGGTGGGGGGTGCTGGGTTACCCGGTTCAGGGTTTTGGGTTTAGGGTTGTGTAAAGCCGAAGCTCTGAGCCACGCACGGGCACTTCCCTTGCACTGGAGGTCTTTGCGCACAGCCTCTGGGCTGCAAGGAGAGTGGATTTGGGGTTTAAGGTTTAGGGTTTAGGGTTTGGGGTTCAGGGTTTAGGAACCAGCGAAGTCTAAAGGAAACCATCTGGAACACGGAGTCCTCATTGTCCTAGTCGCCTGCTAAGTTGCATGGTTTTCCTAAGCCCTCAACCCTGAACCCTACTACACCCTGAACCTTAACCCCAAGTTGGGGCGTAGCAGGGTTTAGGGATTTTGGCTGATTTAGGGTTCTTGCGAATGCCTCAAACCCTAAACCCCAAAAACCCTAAGCCCTAAGCCCTAAACCCTAAACCCTATCCCCTAAACCTAGGGCTTACGGAACCCTTGCAGGGTTTGGCCAGGTGGCCACTTCCTTCAGCCCTCCAGTCCTCAGCCACTAGGCCCTAAGAGCCCCCTGTAAGCCCCAAACCCTAAGTCCTGAACCCTGAACCCTAAACCCTAAACCCTATACCCTAAACCCTAAACCCTAAACCCTAAACCCTAAACCCTAAACCCTAAATCCTAAACCCTAAACCCTAAACCCTAAACCCGAAACCCCTAAGAGGCAAGCCCAAGACCTTCTCCGCCTTCGGCCCAGGTCGGATGCACGTGCGGGTCATCGAGGCCTACGCGGATGGCGACTCCTGGATAGAAGGGGCGCCTCGGCGAAGTTGAGGGGGTTTCGGGCCTTTCGGATTGAGGGTCCTAAACCCTCAGCCCTAAGCCCTAAGCCCTGAACCCTAAACCCTGAACCCTAAACCCTAAACCCTAAATTTCAGGCCTAGCGGCACGGGCCGGCCCCCGCCCCCCAAAGCACGAAACCTTGAACCTTGGCACTGTCTTCTCTTTCCCGTGTCTTTGTCCTCTCCTTCTCTCTGTCTCTCTTTCTCCTGCCTTCGCCCCCCTCCCTCCCCCCCCCCCCCCCGCGCGCGCGCGCGCGCGCGCGCGCGCGCACCCGCATCAGGAGCATCAGTGGGGTTGGTTTGGGGGCCTTAAAAGCATTCTATGCATGCGTTTTGCCTTCGAAAAACCTTCAGAAAACGCTGTAAACACGTGTTTTTGGGCTTGGGAAGCCTTTTGGGACCCAGGAAAGGG